AAAAAATGCAAGAGACCTGTGCAGAAAATTTGAAAAACTCTATTAAAGTACATCTAAGAGAAAATATGAATAAATGGAGAGAAGAAACCATATTCATGGGTGAGATGACTTGACAATAAAAGGTATAATTTCTTCCCAGATCAACCAATGATTTCAATTAATTTCCAATAAAACCTCAGAAAGACTACTGTGAACTTTACAAATTTTAAAATGTTTATGAAAGAACAAGCCCATGAAAAGAAAAGAAAAAGTTAAAAAAAGGTAGATATTAAGACATATTACAAAGCCATAATAAAAACAAAATCTAATAGGATTAAAGATGTAAAAGTAGAAGAAGAAACTATAAAATTAGTAGGAGAAAATATAGAAAAAAATTTACAATCTTCAGGTAGGTAAGGATTTCTTAAATGAGATGTAAATAGCATAAGCTAAAAGGAGAAAAATGATGGCTACGACTACACAAAATTTAAAGATTTATGTTTTTAAAAAAAGTAGACCATAGACTTAGTGTAAACTATAAAGCTCTTAGATGAAAACATAAGAATGACTCTTCATAACCTTGAGTTAGGCAAGGATTTGTTAGACATGACACCAAAAACAAAGAAGGTAAGACAGAAGATTGACCAGCTGGACATCAACAAAACTGAAAATTTTTTTGCCTCAAAGAACACCAACAAGAAAGTGAAAAGACAAGTCACAGAAAAGGGGAAACTATTTGCAACTCATATATCTGATAAAAGGACTGTATCAAGAATATATAAAGAACCATTACAATTTAATAATAAAAGAAAAATAACAATTTTAAATAGTTCTGAATAGACATTTCTTTAGAGAAGAGGCACGAATGGCTAATAAGTGCATGAAAATACATTCAACATCATTAACCATCAGGGAAGTGCAAATTAAAACCACCATGTACTACAACTTCATACCCACTAGGATAGGACAGCTCTAACTCAAATGAGGGACAAGTGGTAATGAGGACTTGAAGAAAATGGAACCATCACGCACTGCCAGTAAGACCAGAAAATGTCACAGCTGCTTTGGAAAAAAGTTTGGGTGTTCCTCAAAAGTTTGAACGTCAGGATACCATATGATCTAGTCATTCCACTTCTAGGTATATATCCCAGATAAATGAAAATATATGTTCACACAAAAATTGTACATGAATGTTCACAGAAGCATTATTCACAGGAGCCCAAAAGTAGAAACAACCTAAATGTGCATTGACTGATGAACGGATAAACAAAATGCAGTATACCCACGTGATTGAATATTATTGGGCATTAACAAGGAACAAACTACTGATATATGCTATAATGTGGATAAACCTACAAAACACTATGCTAAATGAAAGAAGCCAGGCACAACAAACACATACTGAATCATCCCATTTGTATGAGATGTCCAGAAGCAGGCAAATGCAAAGAGACAGGAAGTAGCTTAGTGCTTGCCTGGGGCTGGGGAGGGGCATATTGAAGGAAAAGTGGAGAGTGACTGCCAACAGAATAAAAAAAAAAATCTAAAATTAGATTACAGTGACAGTTACACACTCTGTAAAGAGACTACAAACCACTGAATTGTATAATTTAAAATATAAGTGAATTTTATGATATATAAATTTTGTTGTTTTTATTTGCTTTTATTGTATTTATTGAATTTAGTTATATTTACTTACTTTAATAATAAAGTTATTAGTAATAATAAAAAGGAGACCATAAATGAAGTTAACAGATGGGCGACAAGATTAGGGGAAGACTGAAAAGATCCACATCTGACAGAGAACTAACATTTTAACTTATAAGGATGCCAATAAGGAACAAAATGCAAACCCTATAGAGAAAAATATCAGAAATCTGAAAGAAAAGAGGGGCAGATTAGATGGATAGATGGGTAAGCAGTTTACCAATGGCAAAACAATATGACGAGATGCTCAGTTAAAACAGAAATGGATACTGCTTTAACCTACCAGTTAAGATAGAAATTCCTAAGTGAGCTAAGAGTAAGTGCCAGCAGATGTTGGAAAAGGGACCCTTGAAGCACTCCTGGTGGGAGGAAACTGATGAAGCCATTCTACAGCACAAAGTAGCAGTTTTTAGTCAAAGACATCCCACAAGTATTCTAGAACCAGCAATCTCATATCTGTCTCAAAAAAAAAAAAAAAATCTTGCACAAGACACAGGAAGACACCATAAAGGATCTTTGGTGCAGCATTGTTCATGCAAGCAAGGAGTCACAGGCCACCTCACGTCTATCCCCGGGAGGCTGATTAAGTACTTGCGGTGTATACTTTCCACATGAAATTCTGTAACAACCAGGAGGAATGAATCAGATTTACATATAGCAATACGGTTTGACTCAAAAACATAATGTAGGGGGGAAAAGAAATAGTAAGAGATTTATATATGAAAGCATTTTTAAAAGATTTTATTTGTTTATTTGAGAGAGAGTGTGAGAGAGCACAAGTGGGATTAGGGCCAGAGGTAGAGAGAGAGAAGCAGACTCCCCGCTGAGCAGGGAGCCCAACTAGGGGCTTGATCCCAGACCTGAGCAGCAGACCCTTAACTGACTGAGCTACTCAGGTGTCGCTATTTTTATTTTTATTTTTTTAAGATTTTATTTATTTTGAGAGACAGAGCATGAGCAAGGGGAGTGGCAGGCAGAGGGAGAGGGAGAAGCAGACTCCCCGCTGAGCACGGAGACTCCAACCAAGGACCCTGAGATCATGACCTAAGCCAAAGTCGGACATTTAACCGACCCTTAACTGACTGAGCCACCCAGGCACCTCTAGCCTAAAAATATTTATTTAGGTAAGTGCAACAAAAGCAAAACATGACATAGGTTTCAAAGATGACACATATTCTAAGAAAATATAATGAAAGGGAGTTTAGAAGAACAAACAAATACACCCGCAGGGCTGTCTGTTCCTGTGTGCTCGGGGAGGAGGTTACTGACAGAGAACTGGAGTATAAAGGGAGGAAATAACAAAGTAAAGTACATGAGAGACTCTAGATAGAGCAAGGATTAGTGTGTCATGAACTAAGGTGCATGAGCAATCAAATTTGGCAGACCTTAGATACTTAGGAAAGCACACAAAATCCCACACATTACTTTTTTTTTTTTCAAAGATTTTATTTATTTATTTGACAGACAGAGATCACAAGTAGGCAGGCAGAGAGGCAGACAGATAGAGAGAGAGGTGGAAGCAGGCTCCCTGCAGAGCACAGAGCCCGATGTGGGGCTCGATCCCAGGACACTGGGACCATGACCTGAGCCGAAGGCAGAGGCTTTAACCCACTGAGCTACCCAGGTGCCCCCCACGCATTACTTTTTAGTGAAAAATATAAGAAGGTCCATCACATGCTGGTGGCTAACTCAATGGATCACAAAGCTATGGAGAAAAGAAGGTAGGGGGAAAGACAGGGGCTTGCTTGGTCTTCTGCTGAGTAATTCCATTTTCTGGAACATGGAAGCAAGAACACAGGGTGGTATAAATGCCAGGCATGGTATCTCCAGCACACCACCTCTTACCCCTGCAGATGAAGCTAGGGGAGCAAAAGGAGAGAACCATCCACAACGGTTCAAATTTAGTTAACAGGAGGAAGAGAAAAGAGGACATCAGGGAATTTAGCAGAAAGGGAATAGCTCATTGAATCAAGACTCCGATTTTCTGGCTCATGAGAAAGTCATTTTCTAAAAGCAATGAATACTCAACATAGCCCTGAAGCAGGACAGAGGAGGGATTCCGTGTTTTAAAAATTAAGATCTTATGTCATCTTTTGTCAAATTCAAATGGCTATTTTCAAAGTTCAGATCATTGGAGTTTTGTTTCAGTAATGGGCCATATGATCAGATCCATGTGATTAGGCTGAATTCATTTTTATTGAGACAAAAGTTGACTGAAAGGGGGTTCTTGGTATTGGCTACAAACCGTGTCATCACTCAAATATAAGTCAGGTGCCTGCAAATTTAGGCCCTTTACTTTCAACACTTAGTGCCTTCTACCCTGTATGCTCATCTCACACAACTGGCCACGTGGGCAACTTGTATGTGTAGATACATAGATACAGTATATGTAGGGGTAGGGGTAGGGGTAGAGGTAGAGGTATAGATAGAATTTTTTGTTCCTTGCCAGGGGTCGTTTCCACAGCCCTGAGGTGGAGCGCAGTTCTCCATACCACGATGAAGTTAGTGTATATGTGATGAACGGCAAAGACCAGAGCACTTCTCTTTCACCCTTCTGCTGACAGATGCAGCAGACAGGAAGTTTCCTGGTCTGGGAAGAACTCGGTCCCTGAGAGTTCCCATCCCTGACCATTTTCGCCAGCCCGGAAGGGGGGCTGGTGTTGGAGTCTCTGCGGAGTAAAGCCCCTGTCTTCTCATGGGCAGGGCCTGGGGGAAGGGGCGACATCCTGGACTAGCTGATGTCCATGCCCATGGCCAAGAGTGGCGAGCTGCAAGCTTGCCAGCTCAGCGAACGCTTGGAAGGCACCCCAGGGGCACCCAAGTGCACCCTATCTGTAAAATGCAGAGAGGCAAACTACACGAGGAGTGGAGCCAAATGGGGAAGGAAGAGGAGTCTGAACGGTAAGCAGGGGCAAATGATGAGTTCCTCCCTGCTGAGCTCAGGGGAGGCACTCTGCTCAGCATTTTACTCCCACTTGGATTGTTACGGAAAGCCGGCGGAGGTAGGGGACCCGTGGCGTTGTCCAAAAAGGAAACGTGTGATGGGAACCGTTCACGGCCTGCCGTGCCGCTGTGCGACCTCGGCCCCAGGCTGCCAGACCCTTGGCACACTAGTCTGCGCTCCCCCAGCCTTGGAGTCAGGCCTGGCGGACCCGAGCCACACAGGCCCCTGCGGTGGCGCGGCTCAGCGCCCCCAGCCCTGCGGCATGAGCCCACCCGCCCGGCCCGTCCCGCGTCACAGCTCCTCCTGGCGTCTCGCCCGCCTGGTCCGCAAGGCGGAGCCCGCGAGGCGGCCGCGGAGGGGCCGCGCTTACCTAGTCTGGTGCGGGCAGCGGCCCCAGCTCGCGGCTCCACGCCGACTGCCGCCGCTCTCTGCGCCCCTCGCTCCGACGAGCTGCTGCGCGAGTCCGGGCCACCGCCACGGTCACTTTCATTTTCCTCAACGACGGCGGCAGGAAAGCGAAAGCGAAAACGGCTTAGAGGCGGGCCCCGGCCGAGCGCGGTGAACGCCGAGCGCGGGCTGGCAGCCAGAGGCAGGGGCTCGGGCCTCAGGCCTGCACGCGGGCGGCTGGCGGGACGGAGCCCCATGCCTCCGAGGGGTCGCAAGCGGGCCCGCTGCGCACGCCTCGGCGGGCCCGTCCCGGGCAGGAAGGCGGGCAGCCCGGCAGCAAGGGGAGAGGCCCCGCAGCGCGCCTTCGTTCGGCCCCGCGGCCCACCGAGTCTCGCTCGGCCCATGAGGACCGCTTCCCCTGCCGCCCCTCAGTCAGCGCCTGCTTGGGCCTCGGGGCTGATGGCCGCGCTTCGTGGGTTTCTGCCCTCAGGAGACGGGTCTGGCCTGGGCGGCCGGGAGCGAGTCTCTGAGGGGTCCTGGGTTGGGGCGCTGAGGCACCTCGGGCAGGTTTCGTTCTCAGACCCTCAGGGCTCGGCCGGTCCCCCAGGCCCAGGCATGCGCACTGGACTCTCTGCCGAGCTGGTGGCGCCGAGGCTTCGAACAGCCTGGTTGTGACCAGGAGGTGCCAGGCTCTTCATCCTGGGTCCAAGGAGATATAGAAGTCAATGGTACCCGTGAAATGGGGGACTCGTCATTTGATAGGAAAAACTGAACAGCATGCTTAGGATTTGGACTCCCTACTCTAACTGGTGCCCATCAATACCCACGGGTTTGGTGGCCTGTTATTTATTGGCTGTGTGATTTGGGGTGGAATCCCTTAGCCTTAGTTTCTTTCCTGGTGGGACGTGATGGTAACCATACTTACCTCAAGGTTGTAGGAATTCAATGAAACGATATGAGGGAGAACATAGTTGGCATTTTCTGCTAGGCTGTCGGTGGGTTCTTTGAGGGTAACAACCGAGTCATTGTTTTTCTGGATGCCTGATAGACATTCTCTAATGTCAGCTGATAAAATTGAAGATTTCCATGACAATAAAATAGTTTTCAGAGTTTAGACTGTGTTATCGTGACTCCGAAGGACTGAAGAGACTCTATAGTCTTTTTGGAAGGCACCTCACACCTCACCTGAAAATTATCCCCTATAATTATGCCACTGGATTGACCAGTTCTGTTAAAGTAGAGTGCTGCTACAACTGAAGTTTGAGGAAACTCCCTACAGCTCTTTCCAGCATCAGTCACTGAGATCTGAAAATACTTTTGTAAGTAAGCGTTTCTACTTGGAAAACATTGATAAGACTCCGTACTCCAAACCAAATTTACCATGTGTGTGTTTGTTCATTTTTGTCATGGAACAGTCTAATAACTGGAACAGAAAAACAAAATTAACTGTCTAATCTGGCAGAGTCACCTTGGTTTGCCTGTTTGAAATTCAGGCATGTTCCCTGCATGATGGAAGCCTTGATCTGTGACTGGTGTTGTGGCTTTCTAAGTGTAATTGCAGTATTTCTCTCAAGAGCATGTGGGGAAGTGGGGCAGGCCAAATGGTGACCTTAGAAAAACAAGAGCCTGTGTTTCCCCCTCCAGGAGATGACGCTTTTGGTCTGTAGCATGAAGGAAAAAGTAAAAAAAAAAAAAAAAAAAAAAAAAAAAAATCAAGGGAATCCTTGGAGCTCTTCCTTGTGATAGGACAATCATTCTTAATTCCATGAGAGTGAAGTAGAGGTAAATCTGAAAATCTGTTTCTGCATAAAAAGTATGTGTGGGAGATGAGGGTTAAGAAAAGAGAGGTAGAGATGCAAGATTTTAAAGCCATGTCCTGGTTACCTTTTATAGATGTTAACCCATGTGACAGGAGAGGTGCCAGGAGGTGAAAGACTCACCTGTAGTCTATCATCTTGGTGATTTTCCACGGTCTAGATTTGGTCTTTGATCTTGTGGGACCCAAAATTCCATGTTTTCAATGTTGCAGTGTTGATTAAAAATCCACATTGTATAAAATCAGAAGGCGAACTTAGTGATTTCATTCACGATTTGCTAAACTCTATACTAAGTACAGCACATGCATTGCTTTCTTTAAAAAAAAATTTTTTTTATTAACATATAATGTATTATTAGCCCCAGGGGTACAGGTCTGTGAATTGCCAGGTTTACACACTTCACAGCACTCACCATAGCACATACCTTCCCCAATGTCCATAACCCAACCACCCTCTCCCTACCCCCCACCCCCTGGCAACTGTCATGTTTTGTTTTGTGAGATTAGAGTCTCTTATGGTTTGTCTCCCTCCCAATCCCATCTTGTTTCATTTATTCCTTGCCTACCCCCCAGCTTCCCCATATTACCTCTCAACTTCCTCATATCAGGGAGATCTTGTGATAATTGTCTTTCTCTGATTGACTTATTTCGCTCAGCAAAATACCCTCTAGTTCCATCCACGCCATCACAAATGGCAAGATTTCACTTCTTTTGATGGCTGCATAGTATTCCATTGTGTGTGTGTGTGTGTGTGTGTGTGTGTGTGTGTGTGTGTATACCACATCTTCTTTATCCATTCATCTGTTGATGAACATCTAGGTTCTTTCCATAGTTTGGCTATTGTGGACATTGCTTATGCATTGCTTTCTTTAATTCTTTAATTCTTTAATTTAATCATGTGGTATGTTGTGATCTTTTTTTCAGCGGGTTAAAAAAGATGAAGGGAATTCCCAAGGTTAGTATGTACAGTATGTAAGTGGTAGAGTCAGGGTTCATTGAAGGCCTGGAGCTTAACCATTTCTGTTAGAAGCAAAACGGTCAGGACCAAAAGACTCTTGAGGTTAGCTGATGAGTGCACTCTCTTCCTAAACAATTTGGAACCTACTTGTCAGAAGGTGGCTTGGTGAGCTCAAAGCCAAAATCAGAAGGGTAAATTATGTGACTGAAATCAGCCCTGGGGAGCTTGGTGCATCTTTCTCCACACCAGGGGTCACACAAGCTGATGGGAGGATGGGCCACTCATTCCTGCTATCCTGGCCAGCCCTTCTCCTGGGGGCAGGATGGGTGTGCAGTGCCCAGTGGACACTCTCTGTTCTCCTTATTAATGTACCAGGGCTGTCCCTCCTTAGATGAACACATTTCTTTTTTAGATAGAGCAAGGCCATAGTGAGTAACATTACTGTTAGGCCTTGTAGATCCTGGAGTCCTTATTGCTCTTAAAGGAGGCATGTTGTATATCTTTGCTCTGATTGGTCTGCTTTCTAATTTAACTTTCAAAGAGCAACTTTGTATCCCAGCTCTTTGGAGGCAACTCACTTTTTTCTCCTTCCTATCTTCCTGACTCCCTGACGTTCTAGCTCTAGAATAAAATCTTGTGCCACAACATGCACTTTATCCAGGCCTGCAGTGCTCATCAAGGAAGCCTTGAAAAATCCCAAGTCCAAGGCCAGCCCTCACAGATTTTACCATGGGTGAATGGTGGGAGTAGATGTGCGGGGAGATCATGCCACTGGAGAACAATATAAATAGAAAGAAATAAAATTCACTGGTTAGAAAACACTTGGAATGTGACTCAAATAAAAAGGAAAAAATACCAAATAATTCTTTTAGATGCTTCCTTTATTCAACAAATGTTTTGTTGCAACTACAAAATGCAGCCACTCTGCTAATATTGGAGATGCCATAGTGAACAAAAATGGACAAAAAAATAGTCTCTACCATCAGGAAACACACGTTATAGTGAAGTAGTCAATCGGATAATTAATCAAATACAGAATACCATCCTAAATGCTACAGACTGCATTTAATTTACTATAAGACAAAATTACAAAGGATTCAAACTTGTGTGAGGGTCGGAGAAGGCTTCCCTCAAGAAATGATATTTGAATTGGTAGCTAAGGAATGAGGATTAGTTAACTGGGTAAAGGGGAATGGGATTGGAGAAAAGATAATTGGTAGAGGGAACAATATGTGCAAGGGTCCTGAGGCAGCAAAGAACTTGGAGCATTTGGGTAACGAAGGAGGCTAGATTTGAACTATTATCTAACTGATGCTCAAAGGGTCAATGGAGCAGAGAGAGTAAGGACAGCCCAAGTCCTCAGGAGGCTGGAGAGTAAGGCAAAAGTCATAATAGGCAGGGCCTTGAATGTCATACTGAGGACCTAGATCCTTATCCTATGAGCTCTGATGTTGTTTAAACTGATCTGATTATGTTTTAAAAAGATGGTTCTGGGGCATGTGGCTGGCTCAGTCAGTAGAACCTGCAACTCTTGATCTGAGGGTGATAAGTTTGAGCCCCATGTCAGGTGTAGAGATTACTTAAAAACAAAATCTTATAAAAAATTCTTTTTAAGATAAAAAGTCTGCTCTACATGCTGTATGGTGAATAGATGGAAAGATGGTCATCAGCTGGGAACAAGATGATGGTGGTAGTGGTGGAGGAGATAGAAACAGACAGATGTGAGAGATATTTAGGAGGTGAAATGGTTAGCATCTTGCCCGTGGACTGGGTCTTAAAGGAGAAAATATCAGGCAGGTTGCATAATTGAATGAATGATTGTGGTGGACATGTAGCTACTCACATCACTCTTCAAGAGAAACTTCTACAAAGAACAGAGCTGAGAGCCACTAGCTGCCTCCCCTTTTGATTTGTTGCAGCACACATACCAGGCTACACACTCTCTAGCTGCTCTCAGACAATGAATGAACTCAGTGGTGATACAAGAGCCAGGCCATTTCTGCCCAAGCTGGGACTCCTCTAACAGGCGATCGGTGCTGTGCAGCTTCCCATCAGTGTGGTCAATAATTTCTCAGAAGTAATCTGCAGACTGAAGCTCTTCCTGCCCAGTTGTTTTCCCTTCACTGTCCCTTTCCAGAGGGAACAGACCTGTGTCATGATCTGAGTCTCTCTCTGCCTATTCTCATTCCTTCTCCCCTTTACCCCTCATGAGCATTTTCCTCGAAAAGTTCTTGTGTGTGTGTGGTTTTTTAAAAAGATTTTATTTATTTATTTGACACAGACAGAAAGATCACAAGTAGACAGAGAGGCAGGCAGAGGGGGAGGGGGAAGCAGGCTCCCCACCGATCAGAGAGCCCGATGCCGGGCTCCATCCCAGGACCCCGAGATCACGACCTGAGCCAACGGCAGAGGCTTAACCCACTGAGCCACCCAGGTGCCCCAAAGTTCTTGTGTGTTTAATTCCATCTTGGCATATGCTCCAAGAGGACCTGAACTAACACAATGCTGCCCTTCTTTGAACTGGAGAGTTTTGGGAAAGGATCACATTTTGTGGGGCTTTGATTCTGTCCATCTTGGGTGAGGTGTCAGGTGGGCAGAGAATCTCATGTCCACTTCCCCACTCATAAGTTATGTTTGTGCTTTGCTACTAAACTATCAACTATGTCCTCTGTGTGAGCTAGGGTCTGGTCTTCTTTTGAAGTGTTTGTTCCATGGACAACCTCCAAACCTCAGTTTAGAACTCAAAACTAAAACAGACTCTAGAAAAATACAACCTACCAATAGCAAAAATATCCTATAACTTTCTTAAGCAGGAGGGAAAAAGTAAACAAATAGAAAATGAGTGAACAATTGTTCTTGAACAAAGATAAGTAATTTTGCTTTGGGTGGCCTTGGTTTCCTGGGAAAAGGAGTAGTCTCTCATAAGTGTTCCTAAAGGAAAACACTTAGCTATTTGGCAACACAGAAGGAAATCTGTCTCTCTGTGGGGAAAAGAAGCCAGTACTCCCAAAGGCATTCTTGCTTTGATGTTTGTCTGCCTGAGCAAGGTGTCCTTTGAGAGGCTGGCAGAGGATAGCCCTGTCATGAAGATAGCAGTCCCCATCATCCGGTCTGAGTGAATCCCTGTGAGATGGCAGGTTATGTTCAAGTCCAACATTGGTTCATCCTCCTAAATCAGGCTTGGATACACATCATGACTATGATTTGAGCACTAACCTCTCTCATAAGTCAAACAACATGTCTTTGACTAGTTACAGACCCCAGACAGACCATATCCATCTCACTATCAAGTGTGGAGGCTGACAGTAGGTGAATTTACAAGAAGCCTCGATACCATTAGCCTGCTTGGACTAAAAAGAGAACGGAGGGGGTGTGGGCATCATGAAGTTTTTCCTGAGGGCTCTGGCTTTCATTAAGGGATGAATGAGTAAAAAGATTTCTCCCAAAGGTAGTTATAATTTCCCTGATGGACCAAACAGAACGTAACAAGGACTAATTATTTGTAGAGTTAATAATTGCCTTAGGGAGCCCCGGAGGGATAGCAATATTATTGTCAACACATATTTAGTATGGTTAAGGATTTTACATGCTAATTTAATCCATTTAAAACCCCAAAGAGTGGTGTCTGGCTGTCTCAGTCAGTAGAGTG